AATTTGTTGACACGTAATATAGCTTTTTCTCATAAATATTTGCTTAACTTTCATTTTAGCTTTCTTTCCACCATTTCTAGTCACGTTTTTCTTTTTTTTCCTCTTTTTGCTTTTTGACTTTTTTTTTAATTTTTCTTTCTTTGAATGAAACGTTCTTTAATTTCATTTTCTATTGTTTTTTTAATTTTCTTTTGTTCATTTTTTTCTTTTCCTTTCTCTTTCTTTTTTTTTCCTTTCAAACTAATTTTCCTTTCTCTTCAATTTTTACTTCGCTTTGTATTTCTGCCTTTATTCCTATCCTTTTCTTTTTGCTCTTATTTAACAGTTTCGACTTCCTCTTTCTTTCCCGCTTAGTTTCCCGTCTTTTAATATCTTTTGGTGGCTAAGATCGTTCACTAGAATCGGATGTTGGTGTTCAAAATCCAGATTAAAACTTTGATTGTGAATACGAAATTTATATGATAGGTCCTGATCTGGTATCTCGTCTACAGTCACTTTCTCACAGACAGCTTCCCTCTTTAGTACTTCGCAGTACAAGATTGGCAGATAGGTCGCATCATTTTGCTGCTAAAATTGCTATATAGTTCTCTGGTTTTGTTGTTCCATTCTTCATATCTACAAATCTACCATTCGTCCTTGCATTGAATAACGTTGCTATATATGGTCTGGTGCCCTTGCTTTCATCTCGATGTTCTGAACAAAATCCAAAAACGGATATGCAGTGATAATAGGTGGCATCTCGTCTGGAATCTTGCCTAGAGTCAATTTCTCACAGATGTGATGTGGTTTCCCTCTGTCTTTTATATTTTCACAGCATCTGCTCTGACGAGATATTTTCACTGGTACCCCAACTGCATGAATTTAAACGTGCTACTTGGGTGGCATCTTGGTCCCATACTTTCGCTGTCAAAACGTTAAAAGATAGGATAGGTATGAATAGCCTTCCCCATCACCCTGTGCCGTTCCGCTACTTCGTGGAATCTACTCCCAAGAGGATGCTTCCTGCATCAATACAATCTTAATTTGTTTAAGTCTGGGATTAACCCTTATCTTCTCCACATATCCTCATAAACAGTGTCCTTTACTCCGTCATGCACAGAGTGAACATTATTGTAAAATAATATATAATGTGCATTTGTGATAAATTTTAGTCACGTGTGAAACTAAATCACATGTTAAAATGCCCCCTAGTAAAAACGCTACGAACTTTTGCTCCAACTCAGTAGTTATATGATTTCATACAGAGAGGAATGAATGAATTATTTTTTTGAAAAACAAATCGTCTGTCCTAGCCTGTCGTTGTTTGGACAAGCTGTTCATTTGGCTTCTCGGGGTGGGACAGTTTTCCGCTTTGTTTCAAACGAGAATTAATAATTGTGATATGCTTAAAGTCAGTTTAAACGACACAGCTTTTTGATCGGTAAAGAAAACACTCTATAATTAAGAGTTACGTCATAATGGCGTCATTATGAAAAGTTGGAAATAAAAACTTAACCTGATTTCAAACTCCGCCTAGTTGAAGATCTTAACAGCTTAAGAGATCACATGTGTTTGGGAAGAAATTAACCAAGGACGATTTGTACGAACTGTGTGAAAGTATCACACTTCGTCTGTGGGAAAGATGTCACGCTAGAACGGATTTTCTCGAAGCCACGGGTTGTTAAGCGGAGGAGTTGTTTAAAGAACCCATTCCTTCTTATACTGCAATTATTTCAACATCTGGGTAAATTTGATGAATTATCAGTTCCATTTTATAAAAAAAAATATAAACTAAATTGTCCCGAATCTCTGAGAGGAAGCAATCATTATACATTTTTAAGATATAATTACCCCTTGGCGTAGTAGTAGTAGACATAATAGCCTTATATTGTTGGAATCTCATAGAGGAAGCACTCATTATTCATTTTCTGTGGCTTATTTACACCTAATAGTAATAGACGTAATAGTCTTATGGTGTCCCAATCTCATAGAGGAAGCAATTATTATTCACTATTTATGGTTTATTTACACCTAGTAATATTAGACGTAATAGTCTTATGGTGTCCCAATCTCATAGAGGAAGCAATTATTATTCACTATTTATGGTTTATTTACACCTAGTAATATTAGACGTAATAGTCTTATGGTGTCCCAATCTCATAGAGGAAGCAATTATTATTCACTATTTATGGTTTATTTACACCTAGTAATATTAGACGTAATAGTCTTATGGTGTCCCAATCTCATAGAGGAAGCAATTATTATTCACTATTTATGGTTTATTTACACCTAGTAATATTAGACGTAATAGTCTTATGGTGTCCCAATCTCATAGAGGAAGCAATTATTATTCACTATTTATGGTTTATTTACACCTAGTAGTAGTAGACGTAATAGTCTTAAACTGTCCGAATTTCGTAGATGCTGCATTTTCTTCATTACTTTTATTAGTATTTGCAGTTATCTTATTTTGATGGTGTGCTGCAATAGGCACTGCGACCAGAAGTTTTTTTTTTTTTTTTCATAAAATTTATCTCATATTACTAGGGATTAAGCATTCAAAATTAATATGGGGGGTCAGTGTATGAATATTTACCCTGGCCTCCCTACTGATAACTGGATGTGACACAAGGACGGGTTTAATGTGGGTAACCCGAGCGCGAACACACGGGCCAAGAACAAAAAATGACCAAGCCTCCGGTAACCATCGGTTGCACTATCCTCGGTGCGAGTACCGATCCCTCTCTCTAGGGTTACGAGAGGGTGCATACACTGGCAATCTGTTCCCCAGTGCTGGGGACCTAACAGCGTGATTTTCCTCAGTTGCGTCTCTTTCCTTCGACGGAGCCACAAAACCGAAGACAGAGACGCAACTGAGAGATAATAAAAACCTACCAGGCATGTGCCAGGTATATGGGGGTGGGGGTCTATCTAAGATCAATCTAGACTCACCCTCTACCTAACCCAAAACAAAAAATATTCATAACACCTGATCTTTTAAAAATTAAAAAAATATATACTTTTAAATTGAAAACATTGAAAAAAAGTTCGCAATTTTTTTTTGTCGTTGTTGTTGTTGTTGCTTTTAATGTATTACTTTTGATTAAGGACCCCAGATTATGATATGTCAAAGAAAATTATATTTATTAAATTTTCGTTTGGTTTGGTTTGGTTTGGTTTGTTTCGTAGAATATGTATTTTTTGGTTTAGATTGGTTTGGTTTATTTTGTTTTACGGCATATCAACCTCAATAGGTTATTTAATGCCGACAACATTTTTAGGATACATTCATATGAATAGAATATGTATTCTTTGGTTTAGATTGGTTTGGTTTATTTTGTTTTACGGCATATCAATCTCAATGGGTTATTTAATGCCGACAACATTTTTAGGATAGATTCGTATGAATAGAGTATGTATTCTTTGGTTTAGATTGGTTTTGTTTATTTTTGTTTTTACGGCATATCAACCTCAATAGGTTATTTAATGCCGACAACATTTTTAGGATAGATTCATATGAATAGAATATGTATTCTTTGGTTTAGATTGGTTTGGTTTATTTTATTTTACGGCATATCAACCTCAATGGGTTATTTAATGCCGACAACATTTTTAGGATAGATTCGTATGAATAGAGTATGTATTCTTTGGTTTAGATTGGTTTTGTTTATTTTGTTTTACGGCATATCAACCTCAATAGGTTATTTAATGCCGACAACATTTTTAGGATAGATTCATATGAATAGAATATGTATTCTTTGGTTTAGATTGGTTTTGTTTATTTTGTTTTACGGCATATCAACACCTCAATGGGTTATTTAATGCCGACAACATTTTTAGGATAGATTCATATGAATAGAATATGTATTCTTTGGTTTAGTTTGGTTTGGTTTATTTTGTTTTACGGCATATCAATCTCAATGGGTTATTTAATGCCGACAACATTTTTAGGATAGATTCGTATGAATAGAGTATGTATTTTTTGGTTTAGATTGGTTTGGTTTATTTTGTTTTACGGCATATCAACACCTCAATGGGTTATTTAATGCCGACAACATTTTTTGGATAGATTCGTTTGAATACAATATGTATTCTTTGGTTTAGATTGGTTTGGTTTATTTTGTTTTACGGCATATCAACCTCAATGGCTTATTTAATGCCGTCAACATGTTTAGGATAGATTCGTATGAATACAATATGTATTCTTTGGTTTAGATTGTTTTGGTTCATTTTGTTTTACGGCATATCAACACCTCAATGGGTTATTTAATGCCGACAACATTTTTTGGATAGATTCGTATGAATAGAGCATGTATTCTTTGGTTTAGATTGGTTTGGTTTATTTTTTTTTACGGCATATCAATCTCAATAGGTTATTTAATGTCGACAGCATTTTTAGGATAGATTCGTATGAATAGAGTATGTATTCTTTGGTTTAGATTGGTTTGGTTTATTTTGTTTTACGGCATATCGACACCTCAATGGGTTATTTAATGCCGACAGCATTTTTAGGATAGATTAGTATGAATAGAGTATGTATTCTTTGGTTTAGATTGGTTTTGTTTATTTTGTTTTACGGCATATCAACACCTCAATGGGTTATTTAATGCCGACAACATTTTTAGGATAGATTCGTATGAATAGAGTATGTATTTTTTGGTTTAGATTGGTTTGGTTTATTTTGTTTTACGGCATATCAACACCTCAATGGGTTATTTAATGCCGACATTTTTAGGATAGATTCGTATGAATAGAGTATGTATTCTTTGGTTTAGATTGGTTTGGTTTATTTTGTTTTACGACATATCAACCTCAATGGGTTATTTAACCCCGACAATATTTTATTGCTGCTAATATTTTTTTTAAATGTATTAATGGCATTTTTTCCCAAAATTTGCACACCGTAATAATAATTTTTAAAAAGAGGAATTAATCTTCTTTTTTTTTCTTTCTTTCCAACAGCTTATTCTCTGAGCCTGAAGGGACTCAACAACCGAACGGGGAAGGTGTCTTTGCGATTCATGAACATTGATGGACATATCTGCAGCGATGACTGGGACGATGACGACGCCAAGGTAGTGTGTCGAGAGCTGGGTTTTCCAAAAGGCATGGCCTACACGCATTACAAATCTGATTGGTCGACATTTAATTACGTTGGCCCGTATTGGACGAGCAATGTCAACTGTACGAGCAATGAAACAAGCCTGGCGCAATGTTCACACATTGGCTTAGGAAATGTGAGGAAATGTGAAACGTCCCATTACGCAGGTGTTTTTTGTTACAGCGATGCAGGTAAGTCGTTCATTTCTCTGTTTGTCTGACTGACCTCTCTCTCTCTCTCTCTCTCTCTCTCTCTCTCTCTCTCTCTATCTATCTATCTATCTATGTATCTATCTATCTACTCAGTCTATCTTCCGATCTATCTATGTATCTAACTTTCTCTTTTAATATCTATCTCATTGAGTTGTGGTCTATCTATCTATCTCATTCAGTTCTGATCTATCTAACTTGCTATCTATATCTATCTATCTATATATATATATATATATATATATATATATATATATATATATATATATATATATATATATATATCATTAAGTTCTGGTCTATCTATCTCAGTTTTCCTATTTATCTGTCAATTTATCTGTCTCATTCAGTTCTGGTCCATCTACCTATCTATCTATCTATCACAGTTTTTCATATCTATCTATCTATATCAGTCTTTTCATATATATCCATCTATTTATCGCATTCATTTATGTCTATCTATCTATCTATCTATCTATCTGCCTGTCTATCTATCTATCTGTCTCATTCATTTCTGCTCTATCTATCTCAGTTTTTCTTATCTATCCATCTATTTATCTATCTCAGTCTTTGTGTGTCTCTCTCTCACCCTCTCTCTCAATCTATATATATATATATATATATATATATATATATATATATATATATATATATATATATATATATATGTCTCTTAAGAAACAGGAAAATCTTGTTAGAAATAAAGAAAAAAGTGTTTAACTCCTATCAGTCCTGCTAAATGATAGTGACTGATGGAGAATCTCCTCACAGATGAAAAAAGGCAACAGAAACATGGCTCTATATAAGAATGTTGAGTATACCTTAAAATTAACGAATGAGAAATGAGAAAGTTTTCAGGGCAATGGAAACAAAAAAGACGCTTTTTACTCAGACTCAGAAAGATATATTTAAAATTTCTAGGCCACATAATGAAGAAAATGGGTTTGGAGAATTTGACACTCGCAGCACACATTGAAGTCAAGATGGAAGCGAAAAACCTACATAACGAGCTTTTGTAAATGGGTGGCAAAACAAGAATTGAGAGAGATTACTAAGAGACACAAATGACAGGAAGTTGTGGAGAACCATGATTTTCTACGCCCTGATGAGATATATGACATAGAAAAGAAGACTATATTTCTTGTCCATGTTCTGCCATCCATTCTCATAAGCTAATTAAGTTGATTACTCACTGTTTTCTCGTTTCTATCGAGTTCACCCTGTCTTGTAAGTGTCAAATTCTTTTACCCCTTTTAAAAGTTTTAAATCTCAGTTGAACACACCAATTTTGTCTTTGAAAATGACGATCATTATTATATTTGTCTTAAAAAATAACACCCTGACGATGACATGGTGCTAATGTCGAAAATACTCAGAATAAACAATATATATCAATTTCTATAAAAATGACACTAAAAAGCTTGTCCGTGAATATAAAAGGATCCAATTAAAAATAAGTAGAAAAAATTTGTCTAAATTATTCAATGAAATATGTCTCAATATATATATATATATATATATATATATATATATATATATACTTTATTTTAGAATATTACATTGAAAACATGTCAAAATCACTATACAGTTACAGTCATGTTTTGCTTTTCATTAAAACTTGTGTAAAAGTATTCTTACATTCTTTGACATTTTTTATTACTTCAAACGTTATTATAGGGGAAAGTCGTATTTGAAATAAACGTCACATTTTTATTTTAAACACTATGCATCATGTCTACCGGCCAACGCGTTCGAGAAATCTTAATACACAAAATGTGTTCTCTGGAAAAGATCGAACTTGCGTCCACCTTTCAAAAGGCAAATCACCGCACTATTTTTTTTCCTTTTTAAGGAAAAGCACGACGTATCAAAGGGTGGATACCTTTACAAACGAGGACGCAGGTTCGATCCCTACCAGAGAATACTAACTATTCAGTGTCCAGCTTTTTGTGTCAAAATCTTTTATTCATATAATTACTTTGTGCCAATATTTTGTATAGACTTTCTCTAATGTTATGCCATCTTTCAACCTAGTTATGTATTTTTCCCAAAAAAGAATGAGTTAAGTTTTGAGTAATTCTTCAAGAAAACTTTCACGAATTTCAACTTGTCTGGGACCAGTTTCCAACACATGAATGTGAGACTGGTTTTAAAATAATCCAAAAACGATGAATATAAAAAAATTGAAAATGCATGTTATTAACAAAAGGAATTACGTGTGCACATATTTGTTATGAAAGGACGAAACATTAAAACCAGCTATAAGAATGTGGATGTGTGTATGTGAATTATCGTGTGTGATAGATATGTGTGTGTATGTGCGTGTGTGAGAGAATTACAGAGGACCAAGAAAGCAAACTTGCCTCGTCAGCAGCTTTCATTATTGACGCCTAACTACATCTAAAAGCAAGAGCTAAAACGAAAAAGAGAGAGAATATAATTGTGTTTTTATAGACTTAAAGAGCGCCCCCTAGTAGACATTTTGGCCGAGCCAAGCGGAATAACCCACACGTCCTTTTCGCATACAAAAAAAACGCTCTTTTTCACTTTAAACGCCTTTTATTTTGGCGCAGAAGATAATGACTTTTTCCGGTTGTCAACAGTTAAATTTTAGTAAGTACTTCTTTAAAACTTTGTCACTGCCTCCAATTGCATATAAAGAATTTACTGTCGGTTCAGTTAATGCTAGAGGACTTGTGAAAAAAGAAAAGTAGGAATTATTGGCAGAGAAAGTTAATAGTTTCAATACAGATGTATATCGTCTCCAATAAACCAAAATCAATGATTTGATATTAATATCGGAATTGGACATCACAAGTTAAAAGCACTATTTACATTATTGTCCTCATCTTTGTCGCCATATTTATTGCAACGTTTCGGCTGTTGTACGCTCCGGTCTTCTTCAGGTGGTTGGAATATCGAACTGAACCCTTTATTTCGCTCAATATAGACAGATACAAGTTAAAAGATTTGGAAACAGACAGTAAATATTATGGAAATGATTTTGTCATAAATTCCAAATAAAGGATAACATCCATAGACTTTGGTGAACATCTATAGTCTAAACACTGAATAATGGCATTAAAAGAACTATCAATAAAATTCCATCGTACCTCATAAAAACACTGAGGATGTTAGAAAACCTGAGAGAGATGACATATTTACACATATTGGAAATTCTATTGATTTGTAATCTGACACGAACAACGAAAATGAATTTCAAGACATGCTTGTCGGGAATCAATAATAGATTAATAACAGCTGAATTTTGATTAACAATAAATATTCTTTTTTATAGATATTTTTATGCATTAAAATTTTCTGGTGAGCAATTTTCTTGATATAAGATTGGAATGTGTCAAAACTGATAACGTCGCTGCAGTTTCTTGATTTGCTAAGATACTAATGAATAAATGGCTTCTTTACTCGATTATCGCGCCATGATATTTTTGTTTGTATATCTGGTATTGGAGTATATATAGTTTAGCTGGCCACTTGTATTCCAGGATGCCCGTTTACAAGGGCGACCAGCCAATCCCTATTGCAGACGCTTGCTTAGGCGCATTTGTTTTTATTCAAAACCCACTGAGCCCACTTATGGTTAATACTACAACTATGCTGAGCAGACCTTAGTTATAGTTTTTGGGAAATAACGTGAATCTAGCTTCATCAACAATTTGAACAAGGCCATCACGCTCATGTCCTCAGCCACGATGACTTGTGACTTCATGCAAGGGTTCCCTCTACCCAATTTCACTCACAAGGCTTGAGTCAACCCGTGGTATGGTTTTTAGACACTTTCCAAAGGTGCTGCACACTGGGATCGATCCCCTTCACTCCGATGACATCAGGACGTCGGCCTCTTGACAAATCGACCATTGTGAGATTTGAACCCGGGTCTCATGACCAGAATGTGAACGTGCCGTTAGGTATTGGAGTATACCACATGGTAGAAATGTATTCATATATTTTAAACAATAATAAACACACATTTAAGAAAATATACAGGGTGGTCTAAAAGTTGGTGAACTGTATGTGGAATAGGTTTTTGTATTGATTAGATTATTACAACTGAGTATGTTGATGAAACATTTCCTGAGCAATGGATTGGCCGAAGAGATGCATTTCAAGAAATTAATACCCAAAAAGACTTGTGCAAAAAAAATTTGTCGAAGCGTTAGAAGTAGACTTCAAAGCTGTGTAAATTGTGAAGAAAACAGTTTGAGCACCTGCGTTGATAAAATTTAAGGGCTTTTAGCTTATTGTTCACAATAAAATTTAAGGGCTTTTAGCTTATTGTTCACAATAAAATTTAATTGTCAATGTAATAATTGTGTTAGAAAATATAATTGTATGCATATGTAATCTCAAAATAAAAGTAATTATTTACTGTCCACCTACTTTTAGACCACCCTGTGTATTTATGATTATTCTATAGTAATCTTTTGATAGCGCAAACCGATGGCAACCTTCACAAGTGGGAGTTATCTTTCTAATTAAGCAAACATCAAAATGATGCAGATTCTGATTTTCTGTCAATTTATATGCAATCTGTTAGTGCAAATTTTCATTGTTCGCATTGAAAATAAGTAATATATATGCATCTAATAAATTAAATTAAATGTCCACTTATCTCTATCTATAAAAGGCAGTGTGTGTGTGTGTGTGTGTGTGTGTGTGTGTGTGTGTGTGTGTGTGTAACGAATGCACGGTCGCAATTTTCGACGGATTTGCACCAGAATTTACATGCACATGTTCCAAGTTAGCAGGAAGACCAAGACCGAAATAGAGGAAATAATCGATTTTTTCATGCTTCTACGACAGTTTTCATGTAGATTTTGTACTGGCCAGAATCTGCCACGAATAGGCAGGAAGATTCTATTGGCCAGCGTGAGAGCCAACAGCTGACTGACACGATTGTTAACTATCATGCTAGCATGCAAAAAAAATCGATAGCTGCACTCGTCACAAGTGGAAAAAATTTAAATCTGCATGGCACTTTACTCCAATTAGCTCATTCGCTTACTTAAACTCAACGTTGATTCTGATTCCGCAGAACTGGGATGGCTGTGAAAAAGTATTTGTTGTTAACATTCTTTTTTCATTCGGTTTTTCCAGTTACGAGTGCTTTTGTAAAGCTGATCGTTTTGTGTTCATTTTGTTTAGTTCTTTTTTCGTAACAAATTTAATGTTTAGTATAGAGCTTAGAAAAAATTCGCAGTGAGAGATAGGCAAGAAGTAAGGCATCTAGCAACACGGCAAAGGACACTCCTTTAAAGGCAAGGAAGGGCAAACATATTTTAAGTCAAGTGATAGCAATTGCTGTATGAGTCGTACGATTTTTGAATCAAGCACGGCCAACGCCGGGCCATGCTGCTAGTCTTCTCTATATTCTGAAATTCCTAGAGAGTCTCCACCCTTTGGAATATTTGAAACTGAATCGCACACACTGCTTCTCTTGGAAACGTTATCGCTAGTTAACCGGTTATTTTTTGTAAAACAATATGTGTTCTTGTTATGTTATGAGATGGAACAAATATATTGAGTCAATCATTCCTGTCAAACCGTGTATTGAAGGGCGTTCTCAACGGATTCTACTCCAACTCTTATCCCACGAATGATCTATCCTAAGCTCAACACTGTTCTTCATCTTCATTAACGATCTTCCTGACTTCATAGGTTCCCATGTAGGCATCTATGCGGATGACACTACTATTTACTCCTACCTCAAAAACAAGTCTAGTGTCGCCGACAAAACTAACCTGACCGTTTGTCTCGAAAAGGACCTCCAATCGGGGCAGGATTTGGCTGGTTAACTTTAATGCCTCAAAAACAAAACTGCTCTCTATTACTCACCAAGAGAATCATCCCTGACATTACCCCCACCCCCATTAGAATCTCTGACGCTCAACTCCACGAGAGCACCTCTGCGACTGCTCGGTCTCACATTGACTGCTGACCTGACATTAAGTCAATAGCTTCGTCCACCGCTAGGAAAGTTGGCTCCCTGTGCCGCGCCACGAAATTTTTCTCGTCGGAGTCGATCCTTCAAATCTAAAAATCAACCATTCGCCCTTGCATGGAGTATTGCTGCCATATATGGTCTGGTGCCACTTTTGTTTGTCTCAAGGTTTTTGATAAAATCCAGAAATGGATATGCAATGTAATTGGCCATGATCTGGCATCTCGTCTGCAGTCGCTCTCTCACAGACGTGCCGTTGCCTCCCTATGTCTTTTTTACAAATACTTTCACGGTAACTGCTCCGATGAGCTGCTTTCGCTGGTTCCCAGACTTCATGAATTTAAGCGTTCTACTAGGCTGGCATCTCGCTCTCACTCTCTCACTGTCGAAAATGTTAAAGATAGCCGTTACTTCTACTCCAATAGCTTCATGTCTCGCACTTCTCGCCTGTGGAACTCCCTCCCCTTTTCCTGTTTCCCTAATAGTTATAATCTCCAACTATTCAAATGTAATGTCAATCGACGTCTTCAGATGCCATGATCTATCCGCTATCCTTCTCTTCATTCTTTCCTCTATCACTCCAATTTGCTCTCGCTCCAACTCTATGTAACCCCTTGCGTGCTAGTGGCTTCCCGCCTTGCTTGGGGTGAAACGCTTAAAAAAAATCTACATACAATGTTCATTCAAAAAGTACTCGACTTTTTTCCCACCAAAACTACTGCCGCGTGGGGAACAATCCTTTGAGTGGTAGGTGACGGTACCCTTTATGTGCATGCGTGAAATTTTTTCAGTTTCCAGCTGTTACGCCTAAAGTACAGACATGTAGTGCGCGCTCGTCGGATTTTCGTTATCATGCAAGATGACCAAACGCATCAAGCAGAGTTATTGCACCAAGTTTTCCTGTTTAAGAAAAACACACCAATTGTTCGACAGGCTGCATACTCTACTGAGTTTGCACTGTGTGACTTCTGGCTCTTCCCCAATCTGAAAACCACGTGATATCTATGCGAAATTGCTTCAGCTGCACCGCCATCAACTTGGGTACGAATTTCGCCGACACTCTCCGCATGCACTAATCCTCTGTTAAAATGCAATCTACTGATC